TTTTTCTTTTCGCTGAAGTCTTGAAATTTCCACACCGAATAGCAATTTTCAATAGCTTTAATTTGATATATAGCCCGACGTTTGGGGTCAAGTATTTCTGCTCATAACTCAGAAAAACTATTTTGGCTTCATCAAATCATAGGCCTTCATCATAGCAGTTAGCCTTCCAGTTTATTTATAGTTCAATGCTGCATCCTCGGTCCCAGGGCCTCACGGCTGACACTGCGTTGCCGAAGGCCCTGGCGAAAACCAAAACGAGAAGTGATTTGATTGGTCGCATGAAAACAATGGAATGCGGAAATTGAACACGAACTTTTACTAATAAATATGGCTGACTATAGGAGTAGATAGGAGTGTATTAACTCTTCAAAGAAGACGAAGAGTCGTTTTGGTCGTTGAAATCTGCTGTCTATCAATGGAAATTTTATTTTTAATATAAAAAATGTTGGATGTTGTGTCACAATGTATTAAAAAGCTGCACAAAATTGGACATTGGATTATTTAAAGATTGAAATCGTCAAAGTCGTCGAAGCCGAAGGGACATTTTATAGTTTTATATACGAGATTTAATTATATACAGAGTATAAACAAAGACAGGTGAAAGGCTATGCGAGAAAGACTGTACCGTTAATTGTACAAATCTACAAAAATTGTGAGTGATGTCTTGAATCTTTCAATTACAAATGAGAAAATCCTGATCGTGAATGAGTGTCTGTGTGGTTGTTCAATGCAAGAGGGTCCATGCCATACATAATATTATATTAAATATAGTATATTATAAAATATAAATTATTTTATAATATACTATATTTAATAGACATACTTTATTGATTTTATATCAATTTCATCAAAGGCTCTTAATTTATGTAAAAATATTGTATTTTATATTAATTAATGTATTTAATAATGACATATTGTATTATTGTATTTTAATACTATTTAATAATGACAAAGTGATTAATATAATAGCTGGAAATGTTAGTTCTTCCACCTTGTTTTGCCTTAAATTTCATGCAATATATAGCTTAATTTATAGGCTATCAATGTTTTTTTACAGTTGACAAATTATATTGTTAATAGTAATACTGCAACTTTGCTACACTGGTGATGAGCCTCCTAATTTTATGCTGTATACATACATTCAGTATTAAGTAATGTGTCAACATCTGGGAAACTAACTTCTGATTCTCTTACATGCAGTTGACATAATTTTTATAAATTATAGTGCTAGATTTCAAGGTTTAATTAGTCACCATAGGCACAGGAGGAAAGTTTTGAAATTTAAAATTGAGGAGCACTTCATGTCAACAGCACCAAATTTATAATTTGTAAACTTTTGAAGAAAAATTGGGCAAGGCAGAGGCAGTACATGGATCATTTCCCCTATGTGGAAATTCTAGCCCCTCCCCAATCAGGGAAGTGGAATGTACTGGGAAAAATTATATTTTGTAATGACCCTGTTTTGTAG